AGTTTCTGTATGAAGTCAGACTCATGATAATAAAGAAACAAATCGACAAGAAGAGGGGCACAATTGGTTTCCATTGGAATTCCGACAATCTGTTGAAAAACACGTCCTCCAAACGTAACAAATATGTTGCCAATCAGTAAATCAAGCATAAAGTATATGTGGATATTCATATCAATATATTGGATCTGTTTATTTCACGAAAACAATATTGGGTTATACACATACGTCAGTGAGGCACGCTTCATATTTCACAAAACAAACAAATTATCAATGGTGATCGGTAACAAAAATGACAAAAAGAGGAAATTCTTAACAGTTCAGTTTTCTAATAAAGGAATTGATGCAATCAACATCAGCAACGTTCTTCATAACAAGGAGGTAACATCTAAAATTCCACTTTATTTTCAAAATCAGTCTGTTCTTATTGTATCCCACAGTCACACTCAAACCATTGCACCTTAAGTATTCAACTATAAGCAAGCATTGCAGGACCTTGATTTAGAGCAGTACAACAAAACCAACTTGTCTTATATTAACAGCCCCTCTGGCCATTTTATTACTGGGGATTTAAACATAATTCAACATGAACATCTCCAAAAGGTGATATCTCATGGTCCTAAGTTTATAAAGCCCCAGCATATCAATTGAAACCACAACTTCTAAATAATTATGGATAACATTGAGGACTACGCTATGGGCTAATTGAGAAGAATTTGAACTGGACACTTTGTCAAAATGGGTCAAAATAATCAGGTCTCTGAAAATACGTCGAATTCATAAGTTGAAAAACTGTGTGAATGATCGACCAAATCCGTTTTCAGAGACAAAGAAGCTGTGAAATGTCTATCATCTTATCGATAAATATTTTGTTGTTCCTGCGGACAAATAATATTGTGTATGTAAATCGCACTACTATGTGTGTCTTGATAAAGAAATAGGAATATATCAGCACTTACTTTATCCCACATAAAAAAACCTATTATTTGACAACGATGAGATTTTCGATGATCATTGCATTGAACAGCAAATCTGAGGACTTACCTTTCTATGTATTGGATACCTAAGCTTCTCGAACTTCCGTACAACCTCGGTACATTGATGGCTCATCCGCATGTTCTACGATGGAATTGTCTATTAAATTTTAAAAATACTGTCCACAGTGAATGAGAGCTTCGGAAATACCGTGAAACTGTTAACTAACTTAGTGGTATTAACCATATGTGGATTTTATAAAAACCTCTAAAGGACTTCTGAATAATTTTAAATCTTGATCTTTCACTGAAATTAATTCTATCCAAACTCTTGATTTTCACCATTCCCCATGTGAAATTGAAAAATCGTCTAAAAGAAATAATCCACAAAAAAAAATGGTAGCATACGCTATAAATTTATAACTTTGGGATACCATACGGCCTAATAGTGAGCAAAAAGGTTGAACATGCTACACAGAGGATCAAGTTTTCAGTATGCTGGAGTTTCTTATTTGACAACATATTTGTTGAATTTCGAGGTTTAATTTTTCAACAAATTGACGGCATTCATATGAGTCGGAGTTCCGTCAGACGCTTGTCAGAAAAGAATAGATCATAGAAGCCAGATCATGTAATTCAAATTAAGATATTTTGATGATGTTCTTTCCATTAACAATCCAAACTTTTCTGATTGGGTTCCATTAATATATCTTCCAGAACTAGAAGTTAAAGAAACAACAGACACGGCTTCCTCCGCTTCATTTTTAGACTGATCCCTCGAATTTGACATACGCGGTCATCTCAGTACCAGAATATATGACAAACAAGACGATTTTAATTTTGAAATTATCAACTTCTGCCACCTTACTAGCAACATACCAACTTCTCTTGTATATGGAATAAACATTTCCCAACTCTTTCGGTATCCAAGAACTTGTAGCTGCTACTAAGACTTTTTAAAACGTCACCAATGTCTGAGCAGAGAGTTCATGAACCAAGGTTATTTCCTTTTTCAAAACAAAATATCGGAGGATACCAAGACCTTGTTGATAAATATTCAGTATCAACTTCACAAATAATACTTTATGGTGTTGAAGTATAGATTCTAGGTAATGACGTTGTTTATCATCTTAATTGCGTGTTACAGTGTTCTTTTGTTTGTCTTTTGAAATTATTCCCTTTACTGTTTAGTCGATTTTTGGTAACATACCTTTGGCGTGGCTCGGTACTTATACAACCCGTCATTGTGTTATTGTACTCTGTTAAATTTTTGTATTCTTTTCTTTCATTTTTGCTTATGTGCTTTGTCTATATGCCATTTTGTTTTTCTTTGTTAACATATTTGTTTAACAACACGGAAGAAATAAAGGAGTGTTCAGAAGATAAAACTATTGGATTTCCAGAGTCCGATTCTGTTCCTAATGACGACCTAAGCATGCCATATTTCATCTTGGGTGACGATGCATTTGGACTGAGAACTAATTTGATGAAGTCATATTCTAGAGCACAGTGACAACGTAGTGGAGTCGAGGTTCGATCGTAGTAGACTCGTAGTGAGATCCTAATGCGATCGGGAATGTCTTGGAAGAAGAGTACAGAGATAGTGTAAGTCGTAGTATAGTCTTATTAGACGTAGCATGAGCGTAACTACAACGCGATCTTATGTTTTTATAGATCGTAGTGGGATCTTTAAAGTCTTGGTCTAGTGTAACAGGGGTTTAATCAGAAATGTATATAAAAAGCCAACCTGTAGAATAACTGACCCAATCGACTGGCTACATAAGTAACGTTTCTGGTGATATTTTCAATAATGTCCTCGAGCATTTAACGGCATTTGGTCGCATGATATTTTTTATAAAGAAACAAAGGATTAGTTATACTATAAATTCTGTCTGATCTAGACAATAACTCTGTACTGTAAAATAAAGATAAAACATAATTCAGATTAAAAAACGAGTTAATTTATTTTCTTTTTATGAAATTGACGATGATTTGGCGACTCGTGACTATGATCTGTGACAAACCCAGTGGTTTCTTAATGTCATTTCTTTATTCTCGAGTTGTTAAATACGACTTTCCCCCTTTTTTGGCCTGTACGTATATAGGTTAATACGATGTACCAAGTTATGTTCTTTTTATCATTTCACAGACAACGGTACGCTTTAAAATATAAAGAAAATTCACGAATAACATAGTGAATGAGACGTACATAAAATCATCACTTTATAATCAATTCGGTTTTAACGATCGATTGTTTTTTTAACGAAATATACAAGACAAATAATACATAAAGCAGAACGCTCGATTTGTGAACATGAGACTCAGGGCGCTCGAAGCATAACAGTTGCAAGGTCCAAGTGATATGATTAGAGATAACTGTTCCAAACCTAAAATAAAAAAAAAGTTCAAAAATTGACTTAGGCTGTCTATGACTAGAATATAAAAAAACTTAGTATTTCAAATTGTAAAGACTTGTATTAGAGATACAGAAAATGATACAACAAAGACATTTCATGCCAGCACAGAAGCGCTGAATACCGATATGGGCAGGAAATACTTTAGATGATAAAACATCAACCAGCAGTTATACCGACAAAGTGGTGGTAAGAATACCAGTTTTATATTTCAGTAGTCCATGTATTCCAGACATGCGTTTCGTCTGCATCATTCTCAACAGCGGCGCAGAAATCAAAACAGTTGGATGACCAAATCATTCGAATTCGAATTGAAAATCTATCTGATTAAAATTCGGTAGGGACGGGGTAAAATAGGTATTTCAGAATGCATTTGTTGTTTAATTTCGTTTCAGTTCTTTGCTATTCGTTATTTCACAGGCTTTTCAATTGAAATGTTATTGTTTTTTTTTGTTTCGTCCGGCAGATTTAGTTTTAGAGTAATATTTGTGTCGTTTTTTATATATGTTAAAGTCTATACAGTTCAGATAAATTGTGGCTGTGTTTCTTGTACCAAACATTAAAATGACAATTTAAATATTTGCATTACTTGGAGTTTATATCTAGATAAAATGCATTCATATAAACATAGCGAAAATTTCACACATGTAAATTGTCTGTTATACCAGCTGTGATCAAAAATGCAATGTTCTATACAAGTCGTGAAATACTAATTTCACATTTTCCAATATATTGTGCTCAGCCTTTATTTAAATATAGGCTTTTCTTGTTCATGTTAGTATGAACATTTTTTGCATGCTATAATAATTTTTAAAATCAAATTTGATCTTCCTTTATCCGAAAAAAAAGAACACAATCTATCTATGCTCAGGCAAATGTTATTTGATTTAAAAAAGAGTCGTTTTTTTTTCTTCTATGGTCTGCCTGTCCACATATTCTATTAAATGTAAAGAATGAAAGGCATCGCCAAAAGTACTGGACAGTATAAATACTAGATGATTTATTAATGCCGCATATTTCAAAAATAAATGACTGACATACAAACCTTGGCTATTAACAACTAATATGGTCTTTGTAGTTTAAGTTTGTACTGACAAAAGTGTGGTTGGGAGAAAACAGTTTAACGTGTGAAAAAACCTCACCCTTTTATTCATCTAAACTATGTGTCGTAAAAATAAAACAAACATTTAAAATCATGCACCCTGCAGTTATAAATGGATAATCACTTACTTCAATAAGGAAATAAAAGTGCACTTATTTCAAAAGCAAAGTATAATGATATTTATGCTATATTGGAACTTAAATGAATAATTCTTACCACACTGTCGACAAACTATATAAGAAAGGGACATAATAAGCTACATTCGAACACGTTGGATATATTATATCTACTTCACAAACAAATTTTCTAGGAAAATGTCCTCACCAAATTGTAAATTTACTTGACTGGTTTAGATTGTAGACCTATTTCACATCCCGGATCTAACTAATCAATACTCGTTTGAATATTAAACTAACAAATGCAAAGCTAACATAAATTAGTATTCCAATCGATAAACTGATTTTTCCAGCAAGCAGCTTCTCTGTTCCTTGGATTTCTTGATTTTATTTAATTTTAAGTAGAACTGTCATTCATTGCATAAACTTTTACCTCTGCAACATGCAAGTAGTTTGTTCCAGTCAATCTCAGTTTTACATAACGTGCATTTTCGACATGTCCGCATTTAAAACAAAGATTTGCTCCGAGTTGTGCCGGTCCAACATAATGGGCACATATATGCGTTTCATTATGTGATGGGCCAATAATAATGTCCAAATCACGAAGACGTTCTCCTAAAACAAAATAAAATCTTAAAAATGTTTACCTGATATAACAACTTATTGCTTTCACTGCTAAATGTATAATTATATCCAGAATTGAGTAATATATTCGACCGGTTTGTATAAAGATATAGATTAACAATGTATATGGACTTCAAAGACAATGTTAATTTTGGGGAAACTCTTTCTTCCTGTAAACAAATAGCGAGTGACTATTAACCTCCTGACTGACTAGGTACTGCCACTTTTGGATAAGATTTGTTGGTTGAAACAGGTCAATAAGCTCGACTAACATTATAATGTATGGCAGTCTATCATTTTCAATTCAAAAATATCTTTAAGTCAACTGACATGTGTCGTATGACTTTTTTTTCTAGACATTCAGATGAAAAATTGCTTCAATAAAATGTTATGCAAGGTTCGTCCCTTGTTTGTTCATAATTGGACATATGGAAGTGGGACTACATTTATAGTTCTTTTTTAAACGTAATAGTTTATCTGCCATTTCTGTAATTGATCCTGTCACTAGAAGTCCATTTGTACGAGTTGTTAACCTTAGACGAATCACAAATGTTCATTACTAATGAAGAGCAAGAGGATAGAGCTGACATCCTTGTGCGTAATGTAAGTGACCTGTAGCGTTTGAAATCTTTTAAAAACATTAAATAATATGTTCTTCAGCTTAACACATTTGATTTGAATAAGTGTGTTTTAATAAACATAGGTTAAGACCCAATTATATCACTTTCAACTTATCATGCTTTGCGTGGGTAGCAGCTCATTCTGTCCGGTTTATTGATAGTAAAAATAACAAAAATTAACTCACTTGTCATTAAAAACAACAAACAATAAACAAATAAACAAATCAAAACAACTGATGGCAATTGACGGCTGCTAGACGTCTAGTGGCAAATTAAATGCATATTCAGGACGAGAACATGGCAATGTAATAAGAAAATTTATCCTGCTTTATACTAGACTGCCACGCACAGCCTGATTTTGAACGTGCAGGTTCACAAGGTAACAGTCCACAGAAAGACATGTCACCCTACCTGGACACATTATTCCTACTCAGAGCCGACCATTCTTTGCACTTTTGTCTAAATGCTTGGCATAGAAGCAGCACATACTTAACGTAAAGTCTTTGATAAGACCCCGCCGGGGTTTAAACCCACGACATCCTTTACCCAAGGCCAACTTACTACCAGGAGACAATCGTCGAAGATAAACACAAACAGAAAAAAAAACATACATTGTGCCGTTGCACCATTGTCCCAGGTTAGGGGAAAGATGGCGCCTTCAAACACCCGTGTTCAGTGGTTGTTGTTGGTTCTTGTCTGTCATGTTTGTTTTTCGTAAATTGTGTTTTTATAAATTAGGCCATCAGTTTTCACAAATGCGAATTGATATCTAGTTTTGATGTCGAGGCTTTTTAAAGCCTACAATACTGTGCGTATTTTTTTTTCATTGTTGAAGTCCATGTGGATGCCAATAATTACTTGCATCCGTTTCATTAAAACTTCGAAGGATAGTTGTCACATAAGCAATCAAATCACATCTTCTTATTTTTATTTTATAAAAACAACAAAAACGACACAAATGAATGAAAAATGAAATATGAAAAAAGGTTAAAGTTATCGGAACTATCTGCATATTATGTCACCAGGTAGGAAACAAATGAGCTTGTACTTTGACCTACCTGTTGTTTTCGATCCTCGATTTCTGTTGAAGATTTCAATCCGCTTTATTTGATAAGTTTTGTCCAAGTCAACAATCCAATAAGGCGATTGCTCTATGTTTGTGTGCATATATGTGTTCACATTTCCATCAACAGCTCTTGATGCAGAACACCCGCTGTAGACTGAACTTTGATTGGCTGGTTTATCGTAAGCAACTTCCTTTAAGTTGATAGTACAATCATCTGAAAATAAAATAAATCGCTTATTTTAGTATAGAAGAAAGTTTATTGTACTGAAAGTTACTGATCACAAACAATATCTCCTTTTTTCGTCGCTTTTATTTATCGAAAAAAAACGAGATATAATTATTATTATTATGTATAGAATGTACCGAACAGACGTACAATTTGTCACTAGTACTAGTACCTCAAACTGAAAAACACGCACCCACTCTCGCTCGCTATGTTTTGGAGTTCATTCGATTACCTCAATTGTTATGTTACCTAGATATTTCTTTACCTAATCCATTTACAAGATTAAAACACAGGTAAACTAGTGTGGCCTTAATTCGTTAAATTTAGATTTGCTCACCAAAAAAAGAACCTCCGAAGATTTTTTTTCGCATATTTTGTAGATGTGTTAATGGTGAATGAAAAATACAAGAATAAAGGGTAATCATGGTCATGCTTTCAGTAGAAGGGTACAACATGTACGAATTGGCCTCGTTTTCAATCTGTTTTAGCCTTGGAATAACTCTACATTTAGCATGTTTAGTAGAACAACTTGAGTATGAATATTTTGTGAAATATAAATTAAATTGGAAACATTTTGACTTTCACCGGTTATTTTCATCTACATCATGTTAATAGCATTTTTTTTTGTAAATTTATTTCAAAACATAGCCATTTTCAAATTTCAGTTTCGGTTTAAATCACTTATTTTAAATCTATTTTCTCAAAATTTCCCATTATTTTTTAAAAGAAAAACAAGAAATTCGAAGTTATGAAAATTTGGGCATTTTAAAACAAAAAAAGTGAGTGTCACTATGATTTGATAAAAAGTAATGGACTGATGATTGACGCCTGTAGCTCAAAAAGCCTGATTTAAGTTTAAGGACCTGCATAAATTATGTGTATATGTATTATGTATTCTGTTCTAATTGCTTTGATTGAAAACTATGTGTCATGCAATTAATAGACAATATATTTAAACGATGTTTTTAAAATATATTTTAATTTGTTATTCTAAAATTAAGATATATTTTGTATTGACGAAATGCCGTAATTTTGTCAGACGCAGGTAATTGACTTTAACAGAAAATGACACAGACGCGTAGTATAAGTTTCTGCGGAATTCTTCACTTTTCTGTGTTTATTGTTCGCTAAACTTGATAAACGATAAGTTTATAAAAACAAATGCACACCATTGAATAAAACGTTCACGTGAAATTTTTACGTGTTTTTGACTTTATTGATATCATCCTGTCAAATGTGTATGCACCTTGCGTGGAATGCAAACTGACATTCTTTAAATTCATACATATCTTATATCAAAGAAACATTCGGTTTTGTATTAATAATTTTGGCATTTTTGGGGTATACGGCTGAAACAAACGTTTAACGGTGCACGAAATTTAGACAGTTCTACTTTCATGTTTTCTGGCAGTTGCAAAATCAAAAGCTCAAACTCATCAAACGAATGGGAAACACATGTCATATTTCTGACTTGGTGCCGGCATTTTCTTATGTAGAAAATGATGAATTAAACCTGATTCTATATCTAACTAAACCTCTCACTTGTATGACAGTCGCAAACAATTCTATTATATTGACAACAATGTGTTAACAAATTGAAGACAAACAAACATAATAGGTTAAATGTCAAATAGGGGTACAGCCATCAACATTGTGTTATATCCCTAATACCTAAAAAAACAAACAAATAGGTCAACAAAGAAAACAATATATTCTAACACTACAAATTGTTCAGAGTCTTAAAAGACCTTTTTTTTTGTGCTCGACCAAGGTTGAGCACATATATTACTTGAGATGATTCGACATCATCTCGACAGTACTTAACTGTACTTAACTGTACTCGACTTTGGTCTCGACTTTACTTAATAAGTCTGATTGAGTACTTGATAATCCTGGGATAGTCTGCATATGGTCTCTATAAATGCTCGACTCAGTCTCGGCTCAGTCTTGACCATTCTCGACCTGTCTCGACAAGTCTCGACCTGTCTCAAACCAATCTCGACCAGTCTTAACCTGTCTCGACTTAGTCTTAAACTTTAAATTACGTCTCGACTGGTCTGAATCAGCCCATCTAACTCAATTATGTATTGATATTACAAAATTCCAGGTTATTTTGTAGTTTGGTTCATTGCTGTCAAGTTAAAGGAGTTAATTACTAGACAAAAAAAGGTAACATTTTCAGTTCTGAGTAAATTCAGAGAGTCACCTGTAACTATTTGGCACAACTTTTTGGAACTTTTGGTCCTCAATGCTCTTCAACTTTGTACTTATTTTGGCTTTCGAAATTTTGATCTGAGCATCACTGGTTAGTCTTGTGTGGACGAAACGCGCGTCTTGCGTATTTAATTTTAAACCTGGTACCTTTTGTTAGCTATTATTCGTATGTTTCTCTGTCCTATATGTTCTCCCATTTATTTGTATTGTAGTCCTGTCATGTAATGTTATCATTTTAATGTTATATTTAACATTGCCATAAAAGCGGGAGGTTTGGCTAGCCACAAAACCAGGTTCAACCCACCATTTTTTTTCTTAAAATGTCCTTTACAAAGTCAGGAAAATGGCCATTGTTATATTATAGTTCGTTTCTGTGTGTGTTACATTTTAATGTTGTGTTTCTGTTGTGTCGTAGTTCTCCTCTTATATTTAATGTGTTTCCCTCAGTTTTAGTTTGTAACCCGGATTTGTTTTTTCTCAATCGATTTATGAATTTCGAACAGCGGCATACTACTGTTGCCTTTATCTATATTTTTTTCAAATCAACTTGGATTTTCTAAAAATTTTACAGCTATCTCAATTAAACATTATCTTACAAAATGCTAGGTTGATTTGTTTATTGCCGTCAAATTTAAGGATTTATAATAATAGGTCAAAAAAGCTAGAATTTTCAATTCCGACAAAAGTCAGAAATCACCTTTAATTCATTTTAAAACTTTTTCAAATCAACTTGGATTTTCATAAAACTATACAACTATCTCAAATATATAGTGATCTTACAGAATGCCAGGTTGTTTGGTAGTTTGGTTTATTGCTGACAAATTAAAGGATTTAATAAATAGGTAAAAAGCTTGAATTGTCAGTTCTCACTTAATTCAGATAGTCACCTTTAAAAGTTTCTATAACTTTTTTCAAATCAACTCTGAGTTTCATCTTCAGCTATCCCAATTATATATTGATCTTACAAAATGCCAGGTGATGTGGTTAATTGATTGATTGCTGTCAAATGTAAGGATTTAATTAATAGGAGAAAAAGCTAAAATTTTTAGTTTAGACTAAATTCAGGTACCTTTGAATTTAATCTTTAAATTTGACAGCAATAAACTAAACTACCATATAACCTGGTATTGTGTAAGATCAATATATAATTGGGATAGCTGAAGATGAAAATTAAAATTGATTTAAAAAAGTTATAGAAATTGTTTAAGGTGACTATCTGAATTAAGTCTGAACTGAAAAGTCCAGCTCTTTTTACGTACGAAAAAAGCTAAATATTCAAAAGACCGAACTCCAAGAAAAGTTCAAAACGGAAGGTCCATATTTAAATGGCAAAATCAAAAGCTCAAAGACATCAAATGAATGGATAACCACTGTCATATAACTGACTTGGTAACTTTAAGGCATTTTAAATCTTGAACTTGATAGAAATGAACCAAACTACCAAATGACTTGGAATTCTGTAAGGTCAATATATAATTGAGATAGCTGCATAGTTTTATGAGAATTCGAGTTAATTTGGAAAAGTTATAAAACAAATTTAGAGGTGACTATCTTAATTTAGTCCTAACTGAAAATTCTAGATTTTTTTCAATTAATCAACCCTTATATTTGACAACAGCACACCAATAAACCAAACAACCTGGCATTCCGTAAGATCAATATATAATTTAGATAGCTGTATAATTTTATGAACATCCAAGTTGATTTGGAAAAGTTATAAAAAAAAATTAAAGGTGACTATCTGAATTTAGTCCTAAAAGAAAATTCTAGCTGTTTTTACATTTTAAAATTTTATCCTTAAATTTGAGAGCAGAAAACTAAACTTCCAAACAACCTGGCATTCTGTAAGATCAATATATTATTGAGATAGCTGTAAAGTACTATGAAAATCCAAGTTGCTTTGAAAAAATATAGAAATAATTAAAGGTGACTATCTGAATTTAATCAGAACTGAAAATTAAAGCTTTTTCCACCTATTAATCAAATCCTTTAACTTGACAGCAATGAATCGAAATACCAAATAACCTGGAATTTTGTAAGATGAATATATAATTGAGTTAAACGGGCTGATTTGAACCAGTCGAGACTAAATTTAAAGGTCAAGACTGAGTCGAGACAGATCGATACTGGTTGAGACAGGTTGAGACTGGTCAAGACTTAGTCGAGACTGGTCGAGCATTTTTCGAGCCAATATTCAGACTATACCAATATTATCAAGTACCCAATCAGACTTATTAAGTAAAGTCGAGACCAAAATCGATTAGAGTTAAGTACAGTTAAGTACTGTCGAGATTATGTCTAGTCTTGTTAATTAAAATATGATCTTTTTAGACTCTGGACAGTTTGTAGTGTAATGTAGAAGAAGGATATCATATCATACAACAATACAACAATAATGCCAGGTCTATAAGTACATATGTGGTTCATTATGCAATAGTTTATGGTAGTACCACTTTAGTGTAATGGTTTTTTGAAAATGAAAGTATATTGAATAATTACCACCATAATCGCCTCAGCTCAAAATTTTATGGTAAGTGGTTTCCGTATTACAAAAAAAAACAATGTTATAAATATCCCAGACCTGTTAAAATATGTATTGTACCCACCCATAAAGAAATCTTGAGACTCAATTGGGTTCTTATCCCAACAAAATAAATTGAACAATTTAAAACCCTATTATTAATTTTTAGCTCTCGTTTGCAATGTTAAGTTTTTGATTTGTTAACTATACACACATGTTCGAAGAACATGTTTGTCGTTGATATTTTATGTTTGTTAAGACTGCTAATGAGCTCATTTTTTGTTTAAACAATCATTGCATGAAAAGGGAATAAAACCAACAATTCATGCAAAATATGTGTCATTTTTACTTACGATATGAGTTTCGTTGAATAAACCTCCATTCGTCTAAGGTTTCAGTTTCAACGCAACATCGCTCAGATGTATCAATACGACATGTTAATGCTCCTTTGGAATAACTCGCCAAACAGCATTGTGGATCTGATAGGCACATACCTGCACATGCAAATATGGACCTACAATACACATCGGTAGTATTTTCGGTCTGAAAAATTCTAGTGCTATCCTTTGTTTTATACGTTTCCGATATCACACCTTCATCAATTGCATGTTTTGCGGTAAACGTACATGTTGCAATAAACCAAAAAACTGCACATTAAGGAAAACAGCAAAATTTCATAATAATTCATATGTTTCAGAATTACTATGACGAAGTTAGACAGAGTGTTGTCGACTTAAAAATAAGATTTCCAAAATGATGTTTCTTGTTAAATAGGTGTTCCCAATAGGTTGGTTAACATGTACAACTGCATTCTTATATCACAAAACATGTGATACTATAGATCAAATTCATTTATTAGTCGATTGAATTTAAACGATAATATTCATAAACCAACATTAAAAACGCTGGATTTTGTCGAACAAATAAATGCTGATGTCAATATCAGAACAACTATACGGAAGTGAAACAACTTTTCATCTAAATTTGAAGTAGTTTCCATGTGTTTGAAAAAACTTAAGCTCACATTTTGGTTCCAGTTTCCATACTTTAAATAACTGGCGCATGGAATACAAACCAATATAATTCACTTACAAAAACTTACTTTTGTCGTAGAGATAATGGTTATGTCTTTATCAAGATCAATGATTAGGAAGTTGAAAATACAATTTCACGGAAAATGGAATACTTTTCTTTCATTTGGAATAAACTAGATAAAGTTCTTTATGTATTTTTATGTTTACAAAAGTCTTCACTTGATAAATATTTGCACATAAACTCCTAAAAACGCTTTAATAAATCATTTAATGGATTCTTTAAATAGCCAAACATAGTCTTTAATGGTTGTAAGTTGCAATACATCATGGATGCGTACTGCGTCATAATTGAAAACCTCGTCTTTAAAAAAATCAAAAGATATAAAGGAAAGGGCGTTGTAAAATAGAAGGAATTCATAATTCTATTTCAACAATAACGAACTAAAGCAAGCATTATACAAAACGCACAATAGTGATGTTTTCCTGAGAAGTTTGATATTTAGTCTAGCTAAAATAACACAGATAAAAACAGTGTATTACATTCTGCAAATTCATTTTGTCATGTTTTGTATACAATAGTCTGTATAATACTAAAGTTATATGAAGTGGTGATTAAAATATATAGATACGTCTTGGAAATATGAAAATAACCAAGCATTTACATAGTATTACATCATTTGTACATTGCATGTACATATTCTATACATGTTAATCATCTTGATCACATGATTTGGTAGCATTTATATAGACATTCAGATTTAATACCACTTACATTATCGAAGCATGGATTCAAGATATACTCGGTTGTTCAAAGAATTCACAACTAAATTTGCAAATACAAAAAGCAAAAATTCATGAAAAGGAGGTTCTTATTGCAAGAAAAGGCTGACAAATTGAGCTTCATCTTAAATGACAGGGATTGATATTATAATTCACCCTTTAGCAATAATTATTCATACTTTTCTCTCTTATTCCAAAATTATATTTCTGAGATGACATTGACAAGTTATTCAAATTTCTTTGAAAATGCGACGGGCTTATCATGCGCTCATGGCGCAGCTGTTTATATAGGAATGCTAGGAAGTTTCCACTTAGCTGGCTGTTTGTTATATATTGAAGAGGGGCGAAAGATACCAGAGGGACAGTCAAACTCATACATTGAAAATAAACTGACAACGCCATGGCTAAAAAATAAAAAGACAAACAGACAAATAATAGTTCACAAGACACAACATAGAAAACAAAAGACTAAGCAACACGAACCCCACAAAAAACTTGGTGTGATCCCATGTGCTCCGGAAGGGTAAGCAGATCCTGCTCCACATGTGGCACCAGTCAAGGTTTGCATGTGGTCAGGGTTTTGATTTTTATTAATATTTACACTTTTTAGAGATAGTTGAACTTAGTCATTTTTGAAGTATATACTGGCTTAAGTCCCATTATGGGTATATAGTCATTATAGACAACTCCTCCTACAGTTTTGATGCGACTGTCATAAAAGTGAAAGATTTAGTTAGCTATAAAACCAGGTTTAATCCACCATTTTCTACATAAGATACAGCCTGTACCAAGTCAGGAATGCGACAGTTGTCATCCATGTTATCCATTTGTTTGATGTGTTTGAGCTTTTGATTTTGCCATTTGATGAGGGATTTCGTTTTGAATTTTCCTTGGAGTTTAGTATTTTTTATACGCCCGTTTACGGGACGTATTATGGTATACCGTTGTCCGTCCGTCC